AAATAGGTGCTCTTATGGGTGGCTTGCAGCCTATGTGTAACTGCATTTTCCTTGTCTAGATTACTTTTGTGGCCAGTATTGTGAAACAAGTGGTGAAGGGGCTTTCAGCTTCGTTTCAGCGGCTTAGTCCCTGCCAAGCAGTTCTGCTGTACCAGCAGTTTTACATCCTCAAGAGCTGCCTGCAGTACAGCAGGACTCTAGCTGAGTATATCAGGAATGACTACACTGAAGAATTCAGGTAAGAAAAAAGTCTGAGTCTAATCTGCAGTAAAACTTCACTCATTTCTGATTTTCAGGCAANCTGTAGAAAAGAAGAAAAACCATCTTCTCTACTGGTGGAGGCCATACACCTTTTCAAGCTGTTCTTTCATCGCCATTCCTGCTTCCAGTGTTCTCCTTCCACTTTGGAGCCAAACTACTTTGAAAGTACTAGTTCTAACTCTGCTTGTAGGAGACAACTGGTAAACCCAGTTGGTCTATGATCTGGTGCTCTCTGAGTACCATTTCAATGAGAAATAGTACAAGGATATTGGTGTAAAGCTGGTGAGGGCTTCAGCTTAGATTTGTTGTTTAGGCTTCAACTGAAATAGGTGCTCTTATGGGTGGCTTGCAGCCTATGTGTAACTGCATTTTCCTTGTCTAGATNAAGTGTACAATTCAGTAACTTTTAATATATTAATGTTTTGCAACCATCCCCAATATCTAATTGCAGAACATTTTCATCACTCCAAAAGAAACTCAGCATCCATTAAGCAGTCAAACCACATTCTCTCCTCTCCCTAGCCCCTGGCAACCACTAGTCTACTTTCTGTGTTGGTGGCTTTGCCTCTTCTAGACATTTCATATAAATGGAATCACACAATATGGCCTTTTGTGTCTGGCTTCTTTGACTGAGCATAATGTTTTCAAGGTTCATCCACATCGTAGCATGTATCATACAACCCAATTTTAAAAACTTACTTATGAACATTTAAAAATCAGGACCTGGCAAAAATGGTGTCACACTCCTGGATGACAACAGTTGGCTGGAGCTCAGTAGCAGTTCCCCTCCTAAGAGGATCATGTGCTGTTTAGTTTGCCACTGTCTCCTCCTTTCTCTCACTTACTCTTCCCTACCTCCCTAATTTCTGTTACTTGTGGGCATTTAAGTTTGTGATCCTTATTTTAAACTAGTGATTTTCAACTTGCTTTGCATTAGAATCACCTGAGTAACTATTAAAAAATACTGATACCAAGGTATCACATGTAGAAATTCTGCTTCAGTTTGTCTGCGGTGGAGCCAGGGCAGTGACATTTTTAAAA